ACATCGTTTGAGAAGTGAGTGCGCTGAATCGGGCTCAAGCACGGCTCCTCACTTCACGACAGCTGCGCGCCTTCAGCAGACCTCCTCATTCCTGCAGCACGAGAGCTTTATGATTGTTTATGAGCGCCAAAAGTGGCGAAATATCTGACTGGGTTTCACCGCATCCCTAAGGAATGTTTGGCGAAATATTTGACGGCATATCAAACGACTGAAATGATATAACTAGAGAAATCTCCACTGTGCTGCTGAGTGAGAGAGTGCTTCTCACTGAACAGCCCAGCAGCGATGACGTAAGTGTGCCGAAGCCCGTTTGTGGTGTGAGCGCGGGCCGTCGGGGGAGACGGGAGGGGGGACAAGCGTGCTTTGGCCCGGTTCGAGTACGGCCTTAGTTCCTTTGCGGGTGTTTTGCTTTTTCTGAGCACTACCTTAATGTACAAGTAGCTAAAACTTGCTCATTCTGAGGCTGTAATCGGCAAATGTGCAACTTTAATCATAAGATAAACATAAAAGTTTCCATCTGCAGCTACTTCATGGGACTCGATACTTGTAAACACTCGCTTTATCTGGCTCGTGGCTATCACCACCGCCCACACTCATCGCAGCTACCAAGCTGTTCAATTGCAGAGCTTGAACTATGCGTCGTTGCGACTTGTAGTTACAAATGTGTGCATAGACATTAGCCACGGTGGGGGCTATGTGACCACATAAAGGCTGCGCCAAATCATACACGTGCTTTAGGCAGAAGTATAATAAAATAAAATAAGCCTCAAGTCATCATATAATTGTGCAAATAGGTGTTACTTAGCGATAAATTTATGTATAATTAAAACTTAATTGAACATTTACTTTAATTCTTTCATGCTTTTCATTGCATTTGCGTAGTCATTGTTTTTGTAGATAATAACTGTGCTCAGGTTTGATTTCTAGCCCCAGAAACACATTGTAGAGATTTACTTCCAAAATTCAAAAGTTTTTGTTTTAGGTTGAAAACTGGTGGCTTTTACTGATATTTAAAGCTTTTTAAAGATCTTACTTTGCTTGTTCATGTGTTTCTCCTTTTTTTTTTCTCTCTCTGCAGACCATCTGTCTGTGGGACATCAGCACAGTGCCCAAGGAGGGAAAAATAGTGGATGCAAAAACTATTTTCACTGGTCACACTGCTGTAGTGGAGGATGTGTCCTGGCACCTGCTGCATGAGTCTCTCTTCGGGTCTGTTGCAGATGACCAAAAGCTTATGATGTAAGTGCTTTTTCCTCATGTTTGATCATATTACCTGTCTTTTTACACAAACAGAAAACGAGTTGGTGTATTTTTTTTTTTTTTTTTAAAGAGTATTTTATCTGTCATTTCCTCCCTCTTTAGCTGGGACACTCGTTCCAATAACACATCCAAACCTAGTCATGCAGTGGATGCCCACACTGCAGAGGTCAACTGTTTGTCCTTCAACCCTTACAGCGAGTTCATTCTGGCCACAGGTTCTGCTGACAAAGTGAGATTTGCATTCAGTATTTGCTGGTTTTGCACATGTGAGCACTCAATAAGTCTGCTGCTTTATTTAGACTTCTAAGATGTGCTTTTATTGCTCTGCCACAGACTGTTGCATTGTGGGATTTGCGAAACCTCAAGCTGAAACTTCACTCATTTGAGTCGCACAAAGATGAAATCTTCCAGGTATCAGCTCCCTTCCATCTGTGATTGCAGACGAAATGAAAGTTGACTGCGTGTGAAATCAAACTTTATTTGTGTCTACAGGTTCAGTGGTCACCCCATAATGAGACCATTCTGGCCTCCAGTGGAACAGACAGGAGACTTAATGTTTGGGATCTCAGGTGGGTTGTTGTTTTTATTTTGCTTACCTTTTGTAGCACTGGAGTTATAAACTTCTTTATAGTACTCTTACCTTATTGTTAAGAAGATTCTTTTATGTTCTTCAGTAAAATTGGTGAGGAACAGTCACCAGAAGATGCAGAAGATGGGCCTCCAGAGCTGCTGGTGAGTTGTGGTGTTTGTTAAATTAATTGTGCACATATATTTAGATTAAGTTGTCATTAAAACTTTCTCTGTCTCGTGGCATTTTTGTTTACAGTTTATCCATGGAGGCCATACAGCCAAGATTTCTGACTTTTCTTGGAATCCAAATGAACCATGGGTGATTTGCTCTGTGTCTGAGGACAACATCATGCAAGTCTGGCAGATGGTGAGGACTTTTAAGCCATTCCCTATACATTTAATTGACACATTTGAAATAAACATCTTGTATATTAAAAAAAAATTGAAAGCAAATTTTTATTTTGTTTTTTTTTTTAGGCGGAGAACATCTATAATGATGAGGACCCAGAGGGGGCAGCAGACACTGAGGTTCAGGGATAAAACCTTTCTTTACACCACTCAACTCTCTGGATAAGAAAAAAAAATCTTCTAAAAACTGTCTGCACACAACTGAAGAACTTGCGTTCTCTCCCCTAAGTAATGGAGAAAGGAATTATTGACTATTACCCCACCAGGCATTTTTTACTATGTTAATAGAGTATTTTTCTAAGAAAAATGTCAGTTGTTTATTGGTCAATATCAGAATGTGAGACAAACGACTTTTCCCATCCTTTCCCACCAGTGTCTCTGAAGATTTCCTTGTGGTTTAAGTATACTTAAAGTATTACTTAATATCAGAAAAGTGTGTAGTATACAATGAGTGCAGTGGTACAATGGTGATGTTCGGTAGATTATTATTATTTTTTGTCCTAAAAGTGCATTTTCCATTTAAGGACCCATTTAATTACATGGCTAGATGTATTGATAACTTAAGCTCTTGTGTACTCTTTTTACTTTGAGCTTCATGTACCTGTCAGGTGATGTTCAACGTCTTTTTAATATTGTGACTTTTCAATGTCTTTTTCCTGTATGTCCATACTGTTGTACAGAGCATTATGAATAAACTGTTTTGTTGATAAATATTTTATAACTTCTGTTATGCAGCTTTGTAAGATTTCCTGAGATATATATATATATATATTTAGAATTTTTTTTCTCCCCACATAAATAATGAATTCTAGAATTAAGATGCGCAAGACTTAAATTAGGAACAAGCGTTGTTAGCAAACCGGGTAGGTTGAGGGCAACTTTCTGCCAATGACATGTTTGGGGCGGGGTTTACCTGTGTGATTGGTGTCTTAACGCGCTTTACTGCAACCGTGTCACGTGCACAGGCCGGTGAGAATGGCGCGCGTTTTTCAGGTAAGATATTTCAATTAGTTAAAAGGTCTTTACCATTTTTAATTTAGTATAAAGTGTAAGGTAAAGGTTTGGTTTTTGAATATTAAAATGAACATTCATCGCTAACTTAATGTTTCCAGCAGGTAAATTGAACTATTAGACATTAAGGTAATGTTGCTTAAGTGTATAAACAGCAGCGACCACTGGTCGGACTACAAAATTTAACGGACTTAAAACGACACGACTCCCTTCTCATTGGAAAACGAAGCCAAAATGTCCAAGCTGTGTCTTAGCGCAGCAGGGATGATGGCTTTCTACGAAGTCATATAATTGACCAAGAACAGAAGTTTGTACAAATTCAAAGAACCCACATAAGACTAGTCAAAAGGTGCATGCACCTGTAAAACCATTGTACCTAAACAATAACAGCAACTAATTAACTATAAATCAGCATGATGAAAACAGCATAAAATAATGGAAGCCATCTTGTCTTAGGTATAATTTATATATATATTTTTTGCTAACCTCCTATGTGTTTAAGTAGGGAGGGTGGAGTTTATGGCCTATTCTGCAGGCAAATATAGACGGGGTGAGATAAAACTGTCCATTTTTGGGACGTGTGACTCATTGGAACCAAACCTTCAGAACGAGTTCAACCTTCATTAGACAGGGACTGCCCAAAAAGTCATTCAACTGTCATGTAAAGCAACCAGACAGTTTTTTTTAGCGTCATGTTTAGGGTGTGAAAATGCAAAGTAGATGTCCCTAATATAGCCCAATAAATGATTTATTCAATGTCATCTTTACTTGTCAATGTAGTGAATTTCACATACTATTGACAATCAGCATTTAGCTAGTTCTCATTGTTGTATACACAGCTTTCTTCGTCCATGAGAGTATTTGCCATGACTGTTTTTATTTCCAGGCAGACCAGTAAAATAATGTTGCTCACCTTTCAGAAATACAACTCATCCAACCAGATGATGATTTCGAAGCTTCTGGAGTGTTTCCCTTGTGGCTCTGACATCTAAAGAGGAGACTAGACCCATCACAACACTCTTCCTCCCTCCATTCCCCTCCATTCACCTGTCCTGGATTGGCTATTCCCAATCTTTCGTAAGTGCCCAGAAGAAATTTTGACCATTTGACATGGATGTTTCTATTAAATATAAACTACTGTAAAATGCAGATCTTGACACTACCACTGTCATTTTTACTTTTAAAAGAACGCTCCATTTCTTAAAAATAGGCTCATATTGAACAGTTGAGCATTACTATTTTTGAATCTGACAAGAGCACCTTTAGCTTAAGTTTAGCATATATAATTGAATTGGAATCCTGTACAAAACAATGTAAAAAGTGTTTTAATATTTTTTTCAATTTAAAGCCGGACTCTTCTGTATTTACATTGTGTTATAGGACTGATGGAAAATGAAAAGTTGCTATTTTCTTGGCTGACATGGCTAAGAACTATACTTTATTTCTGGCATATCAATCAAGGAATGTTTCTTCTGTACTTTGACTGTAGCAGGAGCAATGATATTATGCATTTATGTGTGAGTTGCTAATGGTCTAATTTAATTAAATGATCTATGCTAAGGTAAACCAAGTTAAAGGGCTCCCGCCAGACCTGGAGATTGGTTAAATCATTCAACAGTAATAAAACTCAACTGTTGTTCAACTCTAGGTTGTAAAATGAGCCTATTTTAAAAAAAGTTAGAGTTCCTTAAATAAAATCCCATAAAATATTTAAATTAATATGTTTCACACATGAGAGTAAACAAAAGAACTCAAGACATTATTCCTCAACAAAATTCCCTTTATTTTTTTGTAATAATTCAGATTAAATGATTTAAAAGTACTGCAAAATTTCTTAAAATAACCTCTTATGCAATCTTACAAAAACATGCCCCTTGTCATTTTGACAGAGTTTGTGTAATTGAACTCTATCTGCAAGTAAGAACAATTCACATAAACATAAATTCTAATTCTTACATGTTTATCTCAAATCATATTAACAGGACACATTAAATAAACAAAACACTTCATTAATCTTCTCTTTGCACTTAGTAGTAAATGTCCTCACCATCATGCTGTCGGTATGTTTAGAAAGCTTTCTTACAGTGCCCATTTAAGTCTTTGTTTTGCCCTCTTCACTTACTCATAAAAGAAACATTTTAATTCACTGGCACCACTGGATATAAGAGCTTTATTCTCGCTTAAACACAACTGACAAAAACTGTTTTAAGAACAATCTTAGTTGCGTAACTTGTCAGATAAAGATCTGGATCTCTAACATACTTGGTCCTGGTGTTTAGAGTGCTTGATAGAATCTGATTTCATCTTTGCAGATTGCATTGATGTGTGTTTGCAGTATATTGTAGTTATTGTTTTGGTGACTTCAATGATAGAGAAGACAGGCAGTTTAGCTTTAACTACGAAAACTATATCAAAAGCATTTTACATAAAAAAAAAGATTTCAATGAAACAAACATTGGTTCATTAGGTTTTCTCCACCACGACACTGTTGTCTTGCTTGCAGGGCTCCTCTACACTCTCTCTGGAAAATAATAGAGGTGCAAATTTGTAAATCAATGGGATACCTAATTGTGAAGTGGACTTGTGTGTAGTAGACTTTACACATGAAGTCCTTGTATTCTTTATTGGTTTGAATGAATGTTATGACATACTCAAGCGTGAATGATTTTCTTTCAATATGGGAACATGAACATGCAAGCTTCATCTCTAGAGTCTCTTTAGAGATTAAATATAAGCATAACATGTTAAACTCACTGTGTCCTACGTTAACCACTAAGTAAGCTTGGAGTAATTTCCTATAAACAGTGGACTACACAAAAATTCTCACTCAGAATTAGGATCTGTAAATCTTCTTGTAATGGCTTATGAAAACCAATATGAAGTCGATACTGTCAAAATTTTCTGTAAATCAGCCATTTTCACTTTCAGTTCTGTTTGGGTTATTGCTGTGTGGAAATTGCCAAATATACTTAAAATACTTAATTATTCTTTTAAGCATTTTTTAACTTTATTTTTGTCTAAGTACTTTTAAATTGCAATTATAGGCAAAATGTGGTCGGTATAAGCCAACTATACTTAAGTGTAATTTTATTATATAATATATACACCTATAATATAGTGTATATACTGTATCACACTCAAATTGAATTCTTTTTTTTGAAGGGCGAATGCACAAAATGTGAGCTAACAGCCATCTTGTTGCAGCTTGTTATTCCATAATTGCATTATAGGGATTTTGTCACTAACTTTGTGCATGGTGTAATATTCATTCCTTCAAGAGTTCACACTTAGTTGATGATTTATCTTAAGCTTGTTTGGCAGGCTGTCCCGGGAGAGACCCCTGAGCTTAAGGGATCCTCAAGCTCAGGGCTTCCTCCCGTTTGTAGAGCGAGAGGGAAGCTTGTGCTCAGGTACATCTCAAATGCTCCCTGGCTGTAGTGGCTAAGGTAAACTACTTTGGGAAGGAAGGGAGCTAGACAAAGTGCCTGTTTTGCTTAGTCTGTTTTGTATTATGCCTATCTTTGGATGGTGGGAGGAAACCGGAGAACCCGGGGAAACCCATGCGGACACGAGGAGAACATACAAACTCCGCACAGAAACACCCACCATCTCTGCTAGGAGCAGGACCGGCAGTGTTCTTGTTGTCGGGCTAACAGTGCTAACCACTGGTCCGCCGTGCTACCCAATCTATGAGGAAAAAAAGGGGGAGAAAGGAGGCTTTCTTGACGAAGATAAATGTGGAATGAAGACTATGGTTATTTATTATTACTTAGGAATCATATGATTGAGGCATCATGACTAGCTAATAAGAGATCAGCTGTGGTAAGTCATAAGCAGGGGATCCTCTAGAAATTAATTTATATTTAAACTTCACATACATTACATTGCAGTATGAACTAAGAAACAAAAAAATTCTTGCCTGTAGAGTAACAGCTCCTTGGCCTTGCTGTTCTTCAGTATTTCCAATTCTTCTCTCTTCTTAATCTGGATCTTGAGCTCAGTTTTCATTTCTCTGAGTGTCTCCTCCAATATGTCAATTGTCTCCTAAATAAAAACACATTAGATCATCTAAAACATACAAACATGCAGTCATTAAAACTTAATGAAATTTATGTACCCGATATTGTTCCACATTTTCAATCCTCTGTCTCTCCATTAGTCCGATTCTCTCCTCCAGACAAATTTTTTGTAGTTTCAGCCTCTGCTCCTCTTCTCTCAGTGGTCCTAACTGAGCTTTTAGCTCCTGGCACTGCTCTTTAGCCTTACCGAGGGCCTCCACAGCGACCTCCCGTCTCTTCAGCAGGGACATTAAACGGGGCTCATAAAACAATTCCAGAGCTTTGATCCCGCCCTCCAGGTACTGCTGTAGGTCACAAGAGGCTCGCCGCCCTTGACTCACATAAGAGCGGGTCTTCCTCTTGCTGGACTCCTGAGTAATGCTCTGCTGCTTTTGCAGTTCTTGCAGGTGGCTTTGGTGATCTGAATGAATCGTGCAGATTTCCTCAGACAACTTATCAGCAAAGGTCTTCAACTTCTCCTGAGTCACAGGTTTGGAGTATACAAGGTTAGAGTACCGTAACTTATGCCATTTTAAAGCAATCATATGTATTTAACTCTAATTAACACATCTGGCAAGAAACATTGGTTGGGATGGAAAAAATGGGATGAAACGGGGTGTCCAAATCTGCTCCTACGGGCCAACTTACCTGCAAGGTTTAGCTTTTGCCCTAATCTGAACAATTTGATAAAAGTATTCAGACTCACCAAAAGAGGGATGTGCTGTTTGTTTTTGGGTTTGTTTAAGCTTAATACAATCTTTCCAACATGCCTGTATTTTTCCAGATAATTCCTAAGATATTTAATATATTTTTGGTGCTATATATTATATATTGATGGTGCTGAACTCTTCAGGGCAGTGTCCCTCCAGAACTGAAGTTGCCCATCCTTATACATGAAACTTCTGAATCAGAGGTGTTCATACTTGTTTCCGCAGGGCCACTGTCCTGTAAAGTTGGCCTCCAGTAAAATATACCAATATCACTTATCAACGTTTTGATTATCTTGGCTTACCAGAAACTACCAGGCAGATACAGTTTATCGGAACAAGTTGGAGCTAAATTCTGCATGTTGTTTGTCCTTGAGGAGCTGAATTGAACACCCTAGGCTGAAAGATACAAATAAATTCCTGGCTATAGTGTCTAGTGTTTTTCTGATGCAAAGTTACAAACTATACTTGTAAATCCACCTTATAGTTGAAATAAGAGCCATGGTTCACTTGAATTTAGCTAATTTTGTGTAGGATCCTACAAGTTTTCTGTAACAGTTTAAATAAGAGTCAGGTTTATTCAGTAATACCTGAGCCTGGTTGAGCTCCTCCACTGCTTTCTGTTGTAATTCAAGCTCTAGGTGTCTCTGTGCACAGTCTCGGGCTGCTCTAAACAGGCGTCTTTTAGTCTTTTGAGTCTCCTCCTGCAGGCTCTGTCTCTCCAGTCTGACCTTGGACAGAAGGGCTTGTTCCTCCCCCAGATTTTCTCTCACAGTTTTTAGCTCTTGGGCCATTGGCTCCTCAAGCTCCAAAAGCTCCTGAACCAACTCATCCCTTCTGTTCTCCAGCTGGCTCACCTCCTGAATGCAGCTCTCAAATGCTTCTCTAAGCTGTTGTATCTCCATGGTGGCTGAAAACTCTGGCCTTACATAAACACAAGTGTATACAGGATCATCTTCAACCACCAAAACAGATGGCTCTTTCTCTGGAATGCTCATCTCGACAAACTGAAATGCATTTGGAAATCCATTCTTGTCCATTTTGTTGTCTGTTTCTGAAAGTAATTCCAGTGGTGTAGATATGGTTGGATGGGCTGCCTCAAAATCATCCAACTGCATCAACATCTGTTGCATAAGTCCATTAAACTTAGATTGCAAAGCTTCTCTGCATTTTTGTGAAAAAGGCAGGGACTCTCCAGGAAGAGTTAAAGCAGCCTCGATCTCTTCCATGCAGTCTTCAAAATAGTCCTCATCTTCTTCTTCAATAAACAATGGTTCAAACTTTCTCTCCGTCTCTGATAGAGCCCCATTTCCTTTCTCACAGTTCATTTCTTGATCCTCCATATTACGTGTTGCCCTACAAGCTGAACAATACGTGAAACCAGTTTAATGTAACAAAGTGCAAAGCATTGATCTGCGTTAACAACATTCTTGTTGTTAGTGATTAGGTCTATTTATAACGCATTCTTGGGGTTGGTGATTGAGTTCATTTTAGACTAAGAGCATGTACAGTGTACTTTGTGTTATTTCTGAGTAATGCAAAAGATGGTGAGAGGAAATCTGAAGCTAATGCGTCATTGAGGGACAGCTGCATAAACTTGTCAAACAGCTGACTGATCATGAACACACTTAACAGTATGAATAGCATTTGAACAAAAAAGCTGTGATTAACATCAAGTAGTGGGCGAGAGATGTAAATTTTCAGGGTTCTCATGGGTGCAGGAAATCCTTGAAAATGCTTGAATTATAGTTTTAAGTTTTCCAACTTAAATATATAAGTTTTTCAAGTTTTGAAAAGTGGATAGATTTTTGATAAAGTGCATGAAACTGCTTGGAAATGCAATTGTGTTTCTTTCGTTGTAATTTATCTTACTTTATAGGTAACAATAATTAACTATTTAAATAAAATAAATATCTTTGCTTTAGCATAAAATGAAAACTCTTGAGTATGTGCAAGTGCTTGCAGAGTGAATTGTTTGTCTTTTTTTATCTGTGCCTTCTGAAATTTTAATAAATATCTATATGTATGTATGTAATCTGCCACGCTTGAAAATTCTGAAAAATGGAAAGTGCTTAAATTTAACTTTGGAAAAGCCATAAGAACCTTACAGAAGTAACACAAAAAGGACTATTCGAGTATGTTAGGACAGTTTTTTTTGATGGTCAGTTTGTTGAATTTAAGTTACATAGCTTCTACATGCCAACTAATTCTCTTTAGATTATAAGTAGACTGTTTGGTTGGGGTTAGGGTTAGACTTAGTGTAAGTTGACATGTACTTGCAAAGTTTCTTATAGTCAGTTAAATGTCTGTTGAAGGAGCAGCATCAACTGATATTAAGCAGACAGTCTACTAATATTCAAATGGACCATCAAAATAAAGTGTTACCAAATGTTATTTTAGTGCATAATTTTATTTTATGTTGTTTCTTTGTACAACCCAAAATCAGAAAAGGTTGGGACAGTGTGGAAAACGCAAATTAAAAAAAAATTTGTGATTTCCAAATTTACTTTGACTTGTATTTCATTGCAGACAATATAAACACAAAATATTTCATGTTTTATCTGCTTAATTTCATTTGTAAATATAGATCCTTTCCTGTCATTCAGACATGCAACACATTCCACAAAATATTGCGATAGGAGCAATGTAGGGCTAGTAGTCACCATTACACAATGTAAACGTGTACTGGGGTCAGATAAATCAGTATTTCAGTTTTTTTAGAGAAATAGATGCCATGTGCTCTAAATCAAAGAAGAAAATGATAATTCAGATTGTTACCAGCCATCAAAAGCCAGGGTTTTTCTTGGTATTGGGTTGTGTCAGTGACCTTTGCGATGAAATTTCTGTGATGCCACCATTAATGCGGAAAAGTACATATAGATTTTGGAGCACTGTATGCAGCCTTGTTTTCCAGAGACGCCCATGCATATTTTAACAAGACCATGTAACACCACATTCTGCACACATTATAAAGTCCTGGCAGCGGAGGAAGAGGTTACAGGTACTTGACTAGCCTGCCTGCAGTCCCGACCTGTTTCTGATAGAGAATGTGTGACACATTTTGAAGCACAGGTCCCCATACTGTTGCACACCTTAAGACTTGTTTGCAGAAAAAATGGGACAAAATTACACCTTCAGTCCCTAAACGTCTTTTAAGTGTTGTGAAAAGGAATGGCAACATTACAAAGTGGTAAATGCTTTACTGTTCCAACTTTTTTTTTAAAATGTGTTGCAAGAACCAAAATTAAAATAAATGTTTATTCACAAAAAAATTTAAATAAAAAATCAATAAAAATCATGAGGAACACAGTAAATTTTGTTTGTTGTATTGTCTGCAATGAAATAGAAATCATAGTAAATTTAGAAATCACTTTTCCTTTATTTGCATTTCCATACTGTCCCAACTTTTTCTGATTTTAGGTTGTAATTAGTTTTGTGTAATTAGTTTTGTATACGTTTCTGAAAAACAAACTATTTATACAAATTTTTTATCTTCTGATCTGAGCTGGTATTTCTTGCACTAGTCTTGATAGGGCACAGAGAGCAGCTGCTGCTGAAACTGGCAGCAGGAACAGACAGAGCACATTCCAGCCGTGCTAATGATCTCAAAACCTCCATCGTACATGGACAACTGCTCATTCCTTCAGCATGTTTACTCATGCAGACATATTAGTATCATATATGTTGTTTTAAAGTGATTATTAACTTCAATTAAAATGTTTCCTCCAGCTTTTCCAACTTTGAAACCATCAGCAAGAATAGAAACAAAGTGTGAAAGATAACCTACAGAGACACTGCAATGAGTAGGAAGTGATAGCTAGAGCTGCGATAATCTGCCAATGTAAACATTCAGAAATCAAAAACCTTTGAGAAATAGCTGTTATAAAAATTTATCAACTCACCTCAACCCAGAAAACAAGGTTCCAGGACAATAACCATGGAATGAACCCAAACTGAAGAGCTGGTAACCAAACTGAAGCTCAAAATAGGACGGAGGTAGTCTGGCCCCTCTCTGACCGAGTTTAAACATATGCCACAGATCGCCCAGGCAACGTTTAATCTGTTTATATTTATTAATAAACACAAGGAGGAAGAAATATGAGCTTGTACAGCGCGGGCACCAACTCCAGCTAATCAGCAATCATGAGATCCTTTGAGAGGCAACCTAAACACTGGAGCCAATAGGACAGCAGATAACAAATATTATTCAAATTATCAAGGTCAGTGTCCAAACGGGTGGCGAGTGTAGGATCTGCATGAGACAGCAACATAATTCAAGCGGGTCAGTCGCACAAGACTGGCATGCTATGATAACCAATGGGGAAAAGTTGCTTTTTGTGGTTTCCTAAACGGCACTGACCTACATTCAAAAATGACCTGAAAGCCTGGATCTCAAGCAGAATTAAAATTAAGTGGAAATTTAAAGCTCCAAGAAAGTCATTTTAGACAGTGAGATATAAGTAGCTTGTGTTTGTTTAGTAGAGTCCATAGCACCGAATTTCCCTGCCAATGCCTGCTCATTATCTCAGCTGCTTTAAATAGATGTCTGATCTAAATTTATGTATTACAGATTAGTTAAGTTAGGGAGGCAGCTAGTTTCAACAAACATGTTAACTGGTGATGTGATAACTTTAAATATTTAATCGAAGATATATTATGACAAATGTGAAATGTAAAGTAAATAAACAACGTACGTTGATCAAAAGTTTTTGCATCTAAATCAAATAAAATTTACAAATTTGTTTCAAAAAAGCTTTGTGAAAATAAAATTTATCACATCATTCCATCGTATAAGTCTGTAATAGATATGTTTGTGTATGAATTAAACAACATACATGTACTTGCATATGAAAGATATACATATAAAAAAGTGATTGTTCTAAAACAATACATATTTTAGATAATTAAAAACATCTTGCTAACATATAGGCAAAACATGTATAATAATGTATAAAATGTATAAATGTTTGAAGATTTAAAATTAGAGTATTTGGGGGCTGCGCTGTGCTTTTTAAATAAAAGATTATTGCTTTAAATATTCCTTCCAAAGTTTATTTAGTATATAAATTATTGTACAATAATATATATTTTATAATAATTTAAACAACAGTTCTGTCTGGTTCTTGAATCTGATTGGCTGATAGCTGTGCGATATTCTGTCAGTAACAGCACTCGTACCACCTCTTCACCCTTCACCCGTGTGTATTACTCCACCCACATACAGCAGAAGCAAAGGACACTTAACAAATATTGCTGCTGTTGGATAACATACACTAATGTACTTTTGAGGCTTTTTTTAGTCGAGAATGTAATTGTTTAGACTGCAAATGCAGTTTATTTATAAAGATAGTGCCTATTTTTAAATATTTTTTTTATGAGAGACAGCGCATCGGTGGCCTTTAGCTTGTCCTACTGAGGAAAGACGGTTGACAATGTTCTTCCCCAAGATGACGACAAAGACCGCATAATAAGCCCTAAGAGAAAAACTGCTTAATTTCAAACAAAAGCCAATCAAATCCTTATTTAACAGGTAAATGACTTTCTAAGTCGATCTTTCTTTTTTGTATGTTGTAGTGCTGTATTTATACTCTAGTAATATTGTGATCTCCAGAAAAACTGGGAGACATCTCTAGACTGATGGCATTTCATGCTGTTCAGCCTTATAATCTTAAAATGTGAGCAAAATCACCTGTTTTGTCATCATTTTAGACATTACTAGAGAATCATTCAAATACTAGCTCTAAAGTGACATTTGTGAACGAGCTGTTGTGAGATCAGCTGCAGATGTGAAGGAATGGCAGAAGAAAGTAGTTCCTCTTACAAAAGGGTTTTGAGACTCTTTGTGTTTTTTTTTTTATACACATGATTAAGCCATCAAACTGTTGTATAAACGCAATATCACACGAGTAGCTGGGCAATGTGGCTGTATATCGTCACTGGTGGGACACTAAGGCAACCAACGCCTCCCACCATTGCTGATATACAGCCACATCGCACTGCTACGGGTGTGATATTGATCTTATATAATCAATATTTCAATATTTTATAATTGTTTTGCTGGTGACATTATTATATACAGAGATATTGATGTATTACATGTTTTTTTTTATTTGCATGAAAGCCTCATTTTGAGCCATGCATTTCTTTTCAGAACTCAAGCACGTGCGGGTCAATCTTTTGGTGAATTCCAAAGATTTGACCGCTGCCCTTATTGAGGCGCCATCAATCATGCTTGTTTCGTCTTTGGCCAATTTGGTGGACCCATTAGAGCTCACCAAATCAGTCTTTTTCTGACGCAGAGCTTTCGACATAGAGACGTAAAGTTCAGAAATAGTCCACAAAACAAATTAGCAGCTGCAGCAATAAGTTTGGTGTAGGCTGTAACTAGTATTTAGTAAATTTAAGAATTAGTTTGCAGAGCTCTCGACTTCACATGGCAGACGCTAAACCGGAAGTCCCGAGCCATGCATTTCTAAAAACATGAAAAATCAGTGTAATTTCTACTCTCTCTCTATATATATATTTTTTAGCATGAATTGCCTTTTAAATCAGCCAGTTTGCGCAAACAATAAAAAGGAATGCTATGAAGTCAAATGTGTTCCATTAAGGTTCAATTAAAAATATTTACATTGTGTTTATAATGTCTTATATCACTTATTCTTTTAATGTCACCATATGTAAATGACAATGTTAAGTCTTCTAAAACATACGACAAACAAACACGTATAGGAAAATATAGACCCGTAATGGGATCCAACTACTGTGAAGTCAACATGTCTGGGGGCTTTACAGAACTTCAAGTCCTACATTTAATCCCCATGTTTCTTGTAGAACCACAAGGGGGCGCTATATAACCTACTTTTCTAATGGTGACGTACGTGTGTATTTGCATTCTCTTTATGTATGTGATATTAATAGAAATAGTTAGATGATGGGTAACTTTTCCGAACATTGCTTCCACACTAAAATCTCTGATCTTCTCTAAATAATTAATGCATTTATGTTTAAAGCTCTGTCTTATAGAAAGACAAGGTAATAATAAGGAGCCCCCTCTGAGGAATGCAGAGGTGCTTAAGCTGGTAATAAAGCACCGTTGAGAGATGGCTAAGCTGACTGAGCAAGGTAATGACCATTCAAAGTAGTGTCCAACAGCTTCATTCTCTCTGATTAGATTAACTTTTATTTGTTAAAGTTCTCTGACAGTACTATTAATAATCCCCGACTTCAGACCTTATTTGGAACACAATATTTTTTCCCCTGACTTTGAGTAAAAGGAGGAGATCACAGCACAAATCAAACTTTGGCAATGTTTTGCTGTTGTAGTAAGACCTGGATCTAAACAAAATCAACAATTTATAGTTTTTTTAATTGGGTGCAAGCTCGTGAAGATCCTATGAAATTAAGTCTTTTTAGATGTTAGTATCGGTATTGTTAGTTTTTGAATATCTAAAAGCTATTGTGCTCCAAAACAGTGACTAAATTTGTGTTTAGAAGATATAAAACTGATACAAACATGTAAAGCTTGTAGTTTGTCACTTCTGCCTAAATGGATCAAAGGTTTTATTCCCGTCACTTCAGTTTCTTATCAAATTATAGCCAATTTAATGCTCTAGGATCTGACATGCCAATCCTCCCTTGACATGCTTTGTTTTTTATAATTATTTGTTACAACCCTGCTCTAGGGACAAGGGCGCAACATAAAAGATCACCAGATAAAAAAAATCCTTTTTTTGTTGGGTCTCTTTATTTATCTTTTTTTTTATAACCCAAAAAACTTGAAGCCAACTACCTCGGAGTGGACCCACAGAAAAATAATATACAAAAAGTACACTTTAACTAAACACCCTAATGAAACTAACTGAACTTAACAAAATAGAAATACAGAAATAAAAACGCAAAAGCTACCCTTACCTCCCTAACTAGTTATTAAAACAGGAGACAATATTTACAGAAAGAAAATTGTGGTGTCCAACCCTTACTGCCTTTTACTGTGTACAATATTTAATATTCACAATATCAACCTAGGCGAGGCAGTGGCGCAGTAGGTAGTGCTGTTGCCTCACAGCAAAAAGGTTGCTGGTTCGAACCTCGGCTCAGTTGGCGTTTCTGTTTGGAGTTTGCATGTTCTCCCTGTCTTCGCGTGGGTTTCCTCCGGGTGCTCCGGTTTACCCTACAGTCCAAAGACATGTGGTACAGGTGAATTTTGTAGGCTAAATTGTCCGTAGTGTATGAGTGTGTGTGTGGATGTTTCCAGAGATGGGTTATGGCTGGAAGGGCATCCGCTGCGTAAAAACTTGCTGGATAAGTTGGCGGTTCATTCCGCTGTGGTGACCCCGGATTAATGAAGGGACAAAGCCGACAAGAAAATGAATGAATGACAAACAGACAAACAAAAAAACCATAAACAAAATAATAGGAGGAGGAAACACAGATGGATAAACAACAAAGAGTCAAAACTTATACACCAACACAGGACACAAAATCAACAATAACACTTAGCAACAAGAATAGTTTTATAGCACATCATTTTTAGCTTTTGTTCGAATAATGTTGGCATCCAGCGTAATGTTTTTATCCTGGAGTCACTGTGATCCACAAAACTAAAGCATACTTTATTCTTAAGGAGCTCGCACACCTCATGCGCAGTGCACATGACAGTTGGAAGTAACACACACCAGACGTGCACATTCACTTGTTTTTTTAAATGAAATTATTTTAAATAAATAAATGGCACGGCAGAAATATGAACAGTGTTCTGAGTAGTACCTGAGTGCTGTGGACAGCTGCTGACTTGTGGCACCTGTGTGTGTACCCTGATATAAACCTTGATATGTTTACCATTTTGAAATGCATTGTACTGCTAGGCGCGGCACCCCCTTTACGATGGTTTTGCTGCAGACAGTTACAACTCTTTTTGCATCCTTATTGGAACTCACACTGCTAGCAATCGAAGATTTATGTTATTAATGTCAGTTTGGCAAGCTGAACACATTCTGAACTGTACAGGAGACAAGGAGAGGTTGATTGACAATGGTCTACAGCCAATCAGGACACAGAACACAATGTGCTGTAAAAAAAAAAAAAAAAAAAAGTAAGCATGTGAAATTCCACAAAAAAAAAAAATCCACAGAACTGCGAGGCTGTAAAAGGTGAACCACA